TGATGTGCATTACCGAGAGGGTCCAGAGATACCTCTCCGACAATCGGAGTGACAAATCCTAATCTTGATCTATGCCAACTCAACAAACACCATCGGAAACACCTGTAGAGTATCTTTATAATCACCTAGTTACGTTGTGACATTTGATAGCACACTAAGTGTTCCTCTGGTATTCGGGAGTTGCATAATCTCATAGTCATGGGAACATATATAAGTTATGGAGGAAGCAATAGCAGTAAACTAAATGATCATCGTGCTAAGCTAACGAATGGGTCAAGTCAATCACATCATTCTCTAATGATGTGATCCCGTTCATCAAATGATAACTCTTTGTCCATGGCTAGGAAACTTAACCACTTTTTATCAACGAGCTAGTCAAGTAGAGGCATATTAGTGACACTATGTTTTTCTATGTATTCACACATGTACTAAGTTTTCGGTTAATACAATTCTAGCATGAATAATAAACATTTATCATGATATAAGGAAATATAAATAACAACTTTATTATTGCCTTTAGGGCATATTTCCTTCAATCACATGTTTGAACGCTTCCTTTGAATTTTTTCCGCATATGTTTTCGGTTTTTTTTTACTTTTCAGTTTTCAATCGGTCTTTCTTAGCTTTTGGTCAAATAAAAAATTGAAAAAAAAACTTGCATGAAAAAACATGTCTTTTTCTTCCGCGAAAGGCATGGGTTTGCTTTCGCAAGAGTCTTGGCCGTGCCTCTCGAAAACCGAAAAAGGACGGGTTTTTTTCTTCTGCGAGAGGCACGAGTTTGCTTCCGCGTGAGCCATGGTCGTGCCTCTCGAAAACGAAAAAATGTGTTTTTTCCTTCCACAGAGGCACGGGTTTGCTTTCGCGAGAGGCACGACCGTGTCTTTCGAAAACGAAGAAAACACATTTTCTCCTTTTTTTCCTTTCACGAGAGGCACATGTTTGCTTCGGAAACGAAGAAAAGTGTGCTCCTGGCTCAGATTTTTGTCCTTTTTACGAAAAAAATCGCCAAAACCTATCAACATGGGATCTAGTTTTGAAAATCTCGATGCAAGAAATCCAAGGGTAAAAACAGTTCGAGATTTGAACGTACGGCTTAAGAGATGAAACATTTTGAGTAAACAAATCAACAAAAAAAGGCAAACTCACAGTGCATCATTTGTCACAACCTGAAATGATAGAAGTGACCTTTGCAAGATTGCTTCTTAATTAGTGATTTCATCAACCCTGACTCACGCTTGTGATAATGTTGGGGCGTTGGGCCATGCTTTATGAAGAACGACAACGTTGCCATGTTTCAGGCCCACGATGATACTCTCTCACATACACACGTGTAGTGGTTAAAAACACACTAAGATTTCTTTAATTATTTTATAAGAAAATTTTCAATCTATTCATCAACTATCAAGATAGTGCAAAGAACATCAAAAATAAAAATTACGTCCAAATCCGTAAACCATCTAATGACAACTAGAAACATTGGATCAACACTCAAATTTATTAACAAAACCAGCAGCACAAACAACTTTTTTTTTACTTAAGTGTTTTTGTAGCCGACCATCTTCTTCCTCCCGAATGGACCGATAATGTGCAGCCGCGTGACTCTTTGTCAGCAAAGCCAACTTATCATTGTTGATCATGAACAAGAAATCATCGAGGAAGTGGTCCTGTCGGGCCAGCACCTTGAACAAGCCATCACAACGGAAGAGCTGTAGATCCCAGAGCCAGATCTACATTATTTCTCACATGTCTCACGCCAACGCCGCATGACCAACTGATGTGATGATGTTTGACAATGAATACTTCGTAGGTCCTACATGACCTCATATTTCAGCAGCACAAAATGCATATGCTAGTCACAATTGTATTGCAATTTGGGCCGAATGTAGGTCATCATGTGGACCAAGGAGCAGAACAAACCCCTCAAAGCGGCCCACAAGGGGTGGGGGAGACACTGCAAACATTCGAAATCACTATCCAACTCTCCGGGTTGCGACAAGTGGCGCACATGCAGCACGCCACTTGTCGCAACTAGGGAGTTTTTTCTTTTTTCGTACATTAGTTTATTCAAAATGTTTTATCTCTCAAATCGTGCGTCCAAATCACAAACCGCTTTCATTGTTGGATTCCTCGCGTTGAGATTTTCAAAACTAAATCTCATGTTAATAGTTTTGACGAATTTTTTTTCATGAAAAAAACCAAACGAAAAAACTGAACCGGGAGCACAGTTTTTTCCTTTTCCGAAAGAGGCACGCCCATGCCTCTCACGGAAGCAAAACCGTGACTCTCGCGGAAGAAAAAAAAGAGAAAACACGTTTTTTTCATTTCCGAGGAGGCACGGCCATGACTCTCGCGAAAGCACAACCATGCCTCTCGCGGAAGCAAAACCATGACTCTCGCGAAATTAAAAAAACAGAAAACATATTTTTATTCATTTCTGAGAGGCGCGGCTGTGACTCTCACAAAAGCACAACCATGCCTCTCGCGGAAGCAAAACCGTGATTCTCGCAAAAGAAAAAAAAATAAAAAACGCGTTTTTTTTTCTTCGTTTCTGAAAGGCACGGCCGTGACTCTCGCTAAAGCACAACCGTTAGGGCCAGTTCTTTTGGGCAATTCTATCAGAATCGCCCCCCTCCCCAGCTTCTCCTAGAATCATCACTCCATATGTTTTTTACAATCCTAGCTAATTAGACCTTAACTAGATAGGATTGTAAAAAAATATGGAGTGGCGATTCTAGGAGAAGCTGCAGAGGGGGGCAATTCTGGGAGAATCGCCGAAAAGAACTGGCCCTTACTCTCGCAGAAGGAAAACCGTGACTCTCGCGAAAAGAAAAAAACAGAAAACACGTTTTTTCCATTTCCGAGAGGCATGGCCGCGACTCTCGTGAAAGCACACCCGTACCTCTCGCGGAAGCAAAACCGTGACTCTCGCGAAAGAAAAATAACAGAAAACACGTTTTTTTCCTTTTCGAGAGGCACGACCGTGACTCTCGCGAAAGAAAAACCGTGCCTCTGGCGGAAGTAAAACCGTGACTCTCGCGCTAGGGAAAAAAAGAAAACATGTTTTTTTTTGCATTTTCGAAAAGCTATGGTGGAAAACCAAAACGTCGAAAAAAACTGTTTAAAAAGCCGAAAACGCATGCGAAAAAATAAAATAAAAAACAAAATCCGGAGGGAGTCCCCAGGGCGCGACATGTGGAGAATGGCTGAGAGCGAGCCAAGTGGCGCTGATCGTTGCCAGGCTCCCGAAGGAGCGCTCGTTAACTAGTTGCTCTCGCAAACATTACGGGACGCTTCTTGTGAAACCACATATTGACCACACGTGCGTGTCATTGGGCCGACCCGGGCGGCACTCATTTTTCATACTTTTTTTGGTGGGTTTTCATTTTCTCCAGTTCTATTTTCTGTTTATCCTTTCCCTTTTTATCTTTTTATTATTCTTTCTTTGTTTTTTCCTACTTCTATATTCCCTTTTTTCTTTTCTTTTTAGTATTTACTTCCTAATAATATGTACAAAATTTATTTTGCAAAATACACGATAACATTTAAAAACTACATGAAATTTATTCAAAATCAAATAATACTATTTTTGAATATTTTATTTCAAAATACATGGACATTGTATTTTAAATACGTGAATAATTTGTTAGTTGTATGCTTTTTTTAAATGCGTGAAGACTTTTTAAAATACATGATTTAAAAAACCACGAACTATGATTTTTTTTAAATAGGTTCGATTTTTTAAGTATTTTCATAATTTTTATTCGAATTATTTTTTTAAATAAAAGTGATAATATTTTTATTACTTGATTTCTTTTTGAAGTGTGTGGTCAAATTTTAAAATCAGACAAATAGTTATAAAAAATACACAGAGACTTTTTTTAATATGTGCATATATTCTTGTAACACATAAATATTTTATTTTTTTACTATTAAATTAATTATATAAAAATGACCAATAAAATTGACCTTTTCTTTCTAGAAATGGCTTTTTAATGGGCGATGGAATTGTTTATCTGCATTGCTAACTAGATTTATTACGATTAAAGCCCGCAAAAAAAATGACAAACCTTATGTGTTGCTAGCTAGTTTTTGCATTTGAAAATTCTGCAAATATTACATTCAACAGAGTCTGAACCGCTGTAGAGTCGTATGGATTTCATTTGGGTATCTTTGTCGTGTCAGATTAACAATGAACACAATTTGTCTGAGATACCCACTTCCCTTGTATCACACAACAATTTCAGTTCCAATATCAATCCAAGAAGATGTTTTTTCTAATGACCTGACATGCTATTTGGTGTGTTTAAAGGCATGTAAATTCATCGTTAGCAAACTAATCATGTGGAGTGTGTTAGAATTTTTTGGCCTCTCCGATTTGCCCATTAGCATGTCTGTAGCCACCGAGCATATTCTAAGTTAGCTAACAAATATGTGATCTAAATATGTACCTATATGATATCTCTATCCGGTTTCATCTGCAAATTGACCTAGAAAATCTGATATGAGTTGGTAATACTGCTTACATCCAGATTTCATAACTCGCAGGCTTGATATTATTGACAAGGTAGCGTTCAGTTTTGCTTCCATATGGCATCTCTATCTCTTTAACTCAAAATATTTTTGTCCTCTGCGTGCAGATGTCAAATACGTGCATACTGTAGTACCTTATTTAAATCAGAATCACTCAACATATGAAATGCATGGATACCAGGATATGTCATTTCAGTATATGCAATGTCTGAATTCCAATTGATCAGTACAATACTGACGATTCCTTGGTGTACATACTTATATTGACTGTTATAGGACGATAATCCGGTACAATCTGACTAAACATAGCTTGGTAATTCAAGAACTTACTAAGCACACAGAAAGGATAAATACTAGCCAGTAAACAACATATCAGCACGATATCGACAAACATTATAGGCAAACAATTTCTGAAACTGCAGCACTACACAGATACTAGCACTACCACCCGCAACAAGATCAGTAGTACTTTAGAAGCTGAGCGCCGAGAGAAGAATGACAGTGGTGAAAACCAGTGCCAGAGCGGAGGTCACCAGAGCCGGCAGCGCCACAGCGCCGCCGTTCTTGGTGTTGTGCGGCCTCGTGTTCACCGCGCCGCCACCGGTACCGGTGTGCCTCCCGGCACCGCTCGCTCCACCACCGGAGCCGCGGCCTCCCGTGTGCCCAAGCTTCCTGGCTCTCGACATCTCCAGGAGCCTCTGGCCTTGGATTTCTGGAAAAGTAAGCGGCAGTTCCAGGAATAACTTTGTAAGAGATATGAAGAAAGTAGGGAGAAAAGAGGAGATTGATGCACACAAACTACTAACCATGGGGCTGGAGAGCTGCACCAGCCATGGCCCTTCTCGGAGCTGCCTCACACCATGTGCCATGGGAAGCAACGGCGAGGAGGAGGAGGAAGAGAGCGAGGGCACCTTTCTTCATCTTGAGATGGACTCGGTGCCCAACAGAGCAACTCCGATGTGGAGTGTGTGCGGAGGCTTGTCTAGTCTTTTAACTCCTGGATGCTGGAGAGCAGCTAGCTAAGATAAGACCACTCCACAAGCTATTGTGCATGGTGGCAACAGTTGAGCTTGGTTCTTTCTGTGGCAGACACTGTGCCTTGAGCCGGAGAGGCGCCTTGCACCGTGCCTTTCTCACCCTCTCGTTAGCTCACAAAATCAGGGTTAGTACTCTCCCGTAATCTTGCTGATTAGCACCACCCCCAAAACGAGCAACAGTTTGAGGAACTTTTGTTTCGGTGCTCTATGGCATCACTGGTGTTTCCGCTGGGGGCAAGAGGGGGCAAAGCGAACTGCAAAAGCTACCCAAAGAGCATATTTTGTTGCTTTTTTTATCTGTGTGCATGTCGTTGGCGCTGAGATTCCACGATGCTCCACCACATGTTCTCTTTGCCAGCTCCGAGAGCTACAGGATTTTGAGACCACAGGCAGCCTGTAATGTAGAAATCCTGAGATTGGTTTTCTCATCTCCTCCATCCGATCAGCAGGGGATACGGTGTGATCTTTGCCTTTCTGAGATGTCGTTTTGGGCGGCCTGTGAATGGTCCTTTCAGCCCAAGTTTCAGACGTGGCATTTTCTGCAGAGGAACAGTTACATCAGTACAAAGTAGCAAGGACAACTGCTGCATCAGTAAAAACAATTCTTACGCATTCTGAAAGAAAATAGTACATTGTCGGGTCATGAGAAGTTTGTACAGATCATGAAACCGGATTTATGAAATCATAGAGGGTGTTTTTTCCTCTTCAGAAAATAAAAGTAGATACATCACTTGTCACCCTGAAAAGAATGATGTTACCACTGAGTGGGAAGGTAGTGCGCCCTCTTTTCAGAGCAGGCTTCAGACAAAACGCACTCATAGATGAGAGTGGACGTTATTTCTGTGCTGGAGAAGATTTACAAGAAGGAAAGGCACGCCTAGCTGCGCCACTGAGTTTTGGCGTTGTCAATTTGTTAGTTTTTGTTAGTCCGGTGTCATGTTTTCCTTTTCTAGTGTTATATCCAAACAAATATCAAAAGTGTCAAAAGGCATATTATGTAGTATCTGTGGTCGGTCATAACGATAGACATTTTCAATATGCGATTCTCAAAATATGGGTATCAAAATGAAACCCTTTTTTTTTGCTCGTGTGAGAGCTAGACTTGAAAGTGGTCCACCCTTGAATTTCCACTTCACTTGGAAAGCGAAAGGGTACATGTACTTAATGGTATTTTATGCATGTACTCAGTGTTGCATATTAGTATAAGGGGTGTTTGGTTTCAGGGACTTTTTTGTGTTGGGACTAGAAAAAGTTCCTAGCAAACCAAATGGGGTGGGACTTTTTTGAGACTTTTTGCTAAAAGTCCTTAGAAGCACTTCCTTAAAAGTCTTTTTTTAAAAGTCATAGAGACTAGAAAAAGTCCTAGGACTAAAGAACCAAACACCACCTAATTCACCACCGAATTGTAAAAGATTGCCTACTCGGAGCTAGGGCAGGGCCAAACCAGGTCATGGCCCGCCCAGCCAAATAAGATTTCAATGTAGAGTGGTGCTAATTTTGGGCCCTAGATGCAAATTTTCAGGCGTATATCTTAATCTAGCCCTTTTGGGCCCGCCCGGTGATGTGTGTAGCTCTGCCACTGCCTACTCATCTAGTGTTCTTACTTCTTCTGATTTCATGCATGTACATTAATAGATACTCCATCTCTAAAGTGTAGAAGTGCATGCTCTAGTCAATGCAACTAAAAAATCGATCTGATGAAAGAGATTAGACAATGCATTTATACGTCAGCAACCCCTCCCCCCTCACGTGTGGCTCCCTCAGTACTCAAGACCTCTTGACTCTTACCATGTAGAGGTGCATGCTCTACCAATGCAACAAAAAATCGATCTAATGAAAAAGACTATTCAATATATTTATACGTCAACATAAAGAAATATAAGACCATTTAGATCACCGAAGTAGTGATCTAAATGATCTTATATTTATTTACAGAGGGAGTACTAATTAGCACCAAGGGTTTTTTTTTCGAAAAGGGGGGCTCCCCGGCCTCTGCACCAAGGGTTTTAAAAGGGACACAATCAAAACTGTGAAGCGCCATTTGTCTTTCAGATAACATTGTTATCTCAAAGGAACACCAACCCAACAGAATACCCTAGCAGATTCTTTCACACACTGGGTACCACTCCTTTTTTCATTGGATCCACCATTTCATTTTATCTCACCTCATCTCTCTGACTTAAGCTCACTTTTGGCTTAGGCCGGACCTGTGGGCGTGGATGATGTTGCATGTTAAACTATGCTTGTCCTTTGGCTTTAATTTCCTGTAGTGGATGTTATAGGCTTTGAACCAGATGGTTTCCTTTAATAGAAATCGGAGGGGGGCTTCTTTCAGTAAAAAAAAAACTCTCTGACTTAAATTTCATACCTTGAGGTTGCAGAGGCAAGAGAAATTGTGGCAGTTACAATGAAATCTGGCTTTCCCTGGGAGTGAACCACCACATCTCAGATACTCTTCTTGACCAATGTCAACCAAGAAGCCACCCGGTGCAGGATGCAGGTCAGGTCACTCGTTTCTTTTCCACTCACCGTTTTCCAAATCAACATGTGCTCACTTGGACACCCAGCTGGTACCCTCATGTTTGTACATATCTGAAGAAGAACGACCATTTTATTTCAGTTTGTACAGAGAAATCTTGAGCATAAATATCGCAGCGTTTAGTTCTCTAGACAACAGGTTCCTGTCAAACGTGCAGGTTTTACTTGAGCTAGTGACTGGGAATGTCACAATGCATAAACAGAAACGAGACATGCATAGAATGGAACACGGTATATTAAGAGAAAACAGAGGCACATATGAAGGGTACAGGAGACTGCAAAGTGTACATTTTTCACACGGACTCGGGGAGTAGTATAAGGCCCAAGGATAAAGCCCAACCCCAGAAATCTGGTGACCAGCATTACTCCGGGAGCGCGCGATCCTCAAAAAAAAAAAAAAAATCTGGGAGCGCGCGGGGATCACGAACTTCAGCATGGGACTGGATTGATCTCTCCTACTGTCAGACATGATCTCCAGCGGGCACTGAAGTGCAGGACCGCGCAACTCCCTCCATACACGCGCAGCCCTGACATCACGGCCGGCGGCGAGGTATGGCGGTGGATCCGGTGCTTGGCGCCCTCGCTGGCAATGAAGAAGGAACACGGAGCCGCGAAGGGGAAGGGCGGGTCACGCCATCGGCTTCGACGGAACACGTACAGCGCAGGATTGGAACGGCGAAGGGCGGCGGGGCGTAATGGGAGGTGGGAAGTGGGGCGGAAGGAAGAAGGTAAGAATACGTGGAGAAGAAGCTGAACTTGGGCTGTCCATGCGCCAGATCGGAATGCGACGGGCGTGCGCGCATTTTGGTGTTTTTCATATCTTTTTGACAAAGGTGTTTTTCATTTTTGGTTTCGTAAATTAGGTGGCCTTGCCACCCATGGAGTCCCTCAGCAAGTCAGCATGCAATTGTTCTATCGCTCTGACCTCTGCACAGGGTCGTACCCGAGAATTCAGGGCCCGGTGCAAAGTAGCACGAGATGAGGCTCTTTAGATAGAAAATTACGTCTAATAATATAAGATGTTTTTGTAAACTAACATAGCTTGCTAAAATGTCTTATATTTTAGGACAGATGGGTGATTTATTATTTATTTAGCATACTATAAACATAATCTTCCCAATAATAATCCACTTTAGCGGTGATTTATAGCTTACAAAAATATCTTATATTATGGGACGGAGTAGTTATTTAAGTCGATAGAGAGGTCAAGAGAAAGATGTGCACTTGTGTTTCTGTAGTGGCTTGCCTTGGAATTTAGAACTGGCTAGTGTTGGTACTTGGAATGTTTTATAGGAGATGAAGCGTTGCTTGAATATTCCCTTGACTAATACTATTAATTGACATTTAAGATATGTTTTGGGGCTCCAAAATTTTAGGGGCCCTGTGCCATCGCACAGGCTGCACCTGCCTGCCATACGGGCCTGCCTCTGCATCCATGGATCGATCACTGTAAACCAAACAAAACAAACGAAAATGAAAAGGGAACGTGGCATGTATACAAAGGATTCAGATTTATTATAAAAAGGTTTGTCAGAAGTACAAAGCATCCCAGAACATTATATATATTATCGAGGACCTTGAACCATCGAACAACCATTGTCGTTGTCGGAACAAGTCGTCAACGTGATATCGTCGACGCTATTATACTGAAGGCGCCCTGGCCTTATTGATGACAACCAAAATGTCTTCATGCATGTGCCTCTAAAGACCATTGTCTCGAAAGCCGCAGTCGTTGCCGCTCAATCCTTGAATCAATCTGAAAAACCTGACACAATATCTCGCCGTCGTATACACACGACGAGAAACCCTAGCCTCGCCACTCCGAGGAGCTGGCAGGAATCTACGTCGAAGCCCCGTTAAATCTGTCACTGCGGACAAACTCGAGAAGGATCGGAGTCCGAAAGACCGACTCGAAGATGAGGCGCCGCCTCCACTAGGACTAAAACTTCAACCTATATACTAACCGGAACGAGGCATCATGATTCCCCTCACCGCTACCTGCCATCAAAATGACATGCAAGAGGAAGACGAATTCACGGGTTCACCGGCGAAGACGGAGGAGAGGAAAGCTATAAGCGGCTTTATTTTTCTTTTATTGAAACGAAATACTACGTACTACTAGTAGCAAAGTGCCAAAGTGTCCATATACTAACCGGAACGAGGCACCATGATTACCCTCACCGCTACCTGCCATCAAAACGACATGCAAGAGGAAGACGAATTCACGGGTTCATCGAAGAAGACGGAGGAAAGGAAAGCTATAAGCGGCTTTATTTTTCTTTTATTGAAACGAAATACTACGTACTACTAGTAGCAAAGTGCCAAAGTGTCCACGGGCGAGCTAAC